ACAGAGAGAGACAGAGAGAGACAGAGAGAGAGAGAAAGAGAGAATAATTAGGAGCCAGTTCGGTGTAGAGATAGAATAGAACAGAACAGAACAGAACAGAATAGCTTTATTGGCCAAGTATGTATACATACAAGGAATTTGACTTCGGTGCAAAGAGCTCTCAGTGTGTTTGCATAGCATCAAAAATGAGAAGAATAAATAATAATAATAATAATAATAACAACAACAACAACAATAATAACATTATACTAAAAAACTGTGCAGTCAGAAGAGGAGAATTAGAGGAAGGTAGTACTGTGGCTATTAACCAACATATATTAATTTTAAAAAAGGAAAAGCTATTATCTAACATATATATATAATATAATATAACATACATATCTAACATATCTAACATATAAGACACCAGGTTAGAAACTGGGAGACTGTGAGTTCTAATCCTGCCTTAGGCACAAAGCCAGTTGAGAGACCTTGGGCCAGTCATGTTGTCTCAACCCTAGGAAGCAAGCAATGGCAATGGCACTTTTGAAATCTTGTCAAGAAAGCTGCAAGGACTTATCCAGGCAGTTGCCAGGAGTCAAGACTGATTCAAAGGCACACGCACACACACGAATAATTTGTTTGAAATTAGGGATGTTTAAACATGGAATAGATATTTCTGTCTTGCTCTCTGAACTATTAATGCAGTCTGTGCTAAGACCTCAGTATGTGGGGGGTTTTGGTTCCTCTAAAACTAAGCTGCATGAGCTCAGGCAGAAATAGTTTGCCTATGTATGTTCCACCCTTGGAACAAAACAAAATCCTTTGTTGATGGAATTGCGGGTGTCATGTATTAGCAAATCATTTTTCTCATCATTATGTGCAGGTGGAGAACCTCTGGACAGTTCTCTGTCCACTTCTTAGAACAGCTTTATCCAATATTACAGTAGAGACTTACAATGACTGGGGGACATGTATAGCGACATCATGTGTAAGTCTTGTATATTATTTTTCACTCTGTCATATTATGAAAGCATTCTCTATTTATTTTTGTATTTTAATTGTACTTTCTATGTAATATAATAAAGTTTTTATTAAAAAATAAAGTATTTAAAAAAATGAAAGCATTCTCTACTCTTCTGATTACAAAGTCCTTACTTGTGTGTTATTTCAAGCATATTTGAAGGAAAGCAAAGGTGGTCTTATCACAGCATTTCTTCTTAAGTTTCATAAAAATGCTTCTTTATCTTGCCAGTGAGTCTTACATTTACTATCCCTTAATTTTCACTTGCCATGGTTTGTGGGCAAGGCTTGCATTTTGGTGATATCTCTTTTTCTGTTGGTAAACAGATCACATGACTTGTCACGTGATCAAGAGATTGCTGCTATTCATTGTTGGACACTGGCTTCTTCTGTGACTATGGGGAAAATAGCCTATACTGAAAGAAAATTATAGCTTTTGACTATTTGTTCTAATTTTAGTTTTTATTTAGAAAGAAGAGTGGAAATTCTTTTACAATGACTTGTTACATAGTTCTATACATGCATACTCAGAACACAGATCCTAAAAAGGGTATGTGAGATTGCAATCTGGCTTTGCAAATCTAACATGGACCTTTACTATGGAGTAAACTCCATTGCACTTGGTGAAACTCCAGGGTAGATATGCATAAGATTTGGCTTTTAAAAGGACTGTATCTGAAGTTTGGCATAGTCAGAAACATAACTAAACCTTGCTAAAATTGAACACTTTAAGATACCAGTCTTGACCTATAAGGCCATTCATGACTTGGCACCTGGATTCTTGCAAGACCACCTTCTAATCGGTCAGTTTCACCCTGACCAAACTGCTGCAAACCCCACACTTTTGGGAGTTTTGGGGGCTGAGGCAAGGAGGTACTGCTTTTCTGTTGCAGCACCAACACTGGGGAACAACCTCACCATGGAGATCAGATTGACTCCCTCTTTTCTGGTCTTTCGAAAGCTCTTGAAGACCAAGCTGTTTCAGAGAGCTTTCCGTGATTTAATCTGATGTTGCCATCCTTTTGTTTCATCCTCCTCTTCCTCCATTGTATTGTTGTTGTGGGTTATATTGTATTTTTTTTTGTATGTAAGCTGCAGAGAGTTGTTTTGATTGCAGTGGTATACAAATATGTTTACCAAATAAACAAATGCATAATCTAATGTTCTAATACTGCAGAGGTATTATGATTTCTATACTATTTTGAAGAAATCTTTTTTGGATTCGTCTGTTGGGGGAATTCGTTGAAAAAAGCATAGTTATATTGATAAAATGCACTGTGTAATACAGCATAAATGTTTGGTGCTGAATTGCTTCTCAGCAACTTATGTTAAGATTTCTGTTGCCAGGAACTGATTTTGCCCCTTTTTCCTTTAAAAAAAAATGTAAATACAGGAGAGCAGAGATCCCAGGAAATTGCACTGGTTGTTTGAATTGTTGTTGGAGTCTCCACTGAATGGTGAAGGAGGATCATTTGTTGATGCATGGTAAGGAGAAAAAGCTTTACTCATTTATTAGCCAAAGCATGGATGAAAATAGAACTTGGGTTGTACAGAACATTTATTTGTCCTTGCTTTGGTTTTAATCATATGATAACCATCAGAATAGCACTTTGTGAGTTGGGTAGCTATACACATAGTTTAAATAAAACAAATATATAAGTAATCATATCACAGTTACACTATTTAGGTGGCTATGGAAAAAAGGCTTAAATCTTACTGATTTGCTTAACAGTGTTGGAAGCAAGAATTGTTAAGTTGAGGTCCCTGGTCCTCAAATCTTTATATTTGTGTGAGGGTATCTCCTGGTCACCCTCTGACTATAGTTCCTAAAAAATCAGTGAAGCAGGAAATATACAAAAATGTGTAAACTAGTTTAAAAGACAAAGAATCCCCATGCACAGGTCAAAGAAAAAGAAATCTGAAAAGCTGTCACCACTTCTTTATGTGGGATAGGTCTCCATTCACTTTGCATCACTGTCCTCCCAAAAAATAAGTGAGGCCTCTTTTGGGCAACCTATAGATATCATGCAGGAATTTCATCCAATATTCTCTGCTACTTAGCCTTTACTGAACTTCAGAAAAAAAAGATAGCTTCCCTTTTCCTCCTATTTCTCCTGCTGCATCTGAGAGCAAGCAAGAATGTTTCCTCTTCTTTCCCCACAACACTGTTCAAAATTTCTGGGTCCCTTCTGCAGCAGAGTAGCTTGAAGAAGGGCACTAACTTCCCCTGCCCCAATATAGACCACAAATGCAGACCAGAGATGCAGGCATTTGTACATAAGAGAGAAAGAGGGAGTGTGGGTGACTCTCTGTGTATGGCTTATATAACCCTGCTCTCTCCAGTTTTGTTCTTGGGCTGAAAAGTTAGCCCTACAGACCTTAGGTAGAGGGAATATGGAATGGCCTTGAAGGACAGGAGAAAGAGATGCTATCAAGGCAATGGTCAGATAAGCAGGGCTTGAGCCAGGGGCAAGAAATTAATTTGAGAAAACATCTCAGACAAGCCCTTCCCTAGTTCACATGAACATAAAGAGAGGGATGAGGAAGACATTCAGATTTACAAGGTTCTGTTATTATAGCTGTTACAATAACACTAGTCCTGATCTATATGGCATTGGCATTGGATTCTTGGTCTGGTCTACCTTGTAGGACTGATACCTTATCAGCAAATACAGAGCTGGTATAACAACTGTACTATGAGAGGTGGGTTTTAGTGAAAGTAAATTTTGGGGTGAACATGTGGATTTTTTTTTTAAATTGCCAGCAGCATATGACAATTATGCTAGTGGCATTTTAATACAGATAATGATAATGATAATATGCCACCCACCTCCCAATGATTCTGGACAGTTTCAGATAAAAAACGTTTTTAAAAAAGAGAAGAAATACAACTCTTTGTCAAGAATGACAAAAAACAAAATAAATAAACCCACATAGTTCAAAGGGAGGCTTCACTCACCCTTGCCAAAGGCCTGGGCAAAGAGCCAGGTTTTCAAGGCCCTTTGAAATATCAGCAGTGTGGGGGCTGTCCAGATCTTGGAGGAAACTTCATTCCATTTCTGTTACTTTTGTGAAGTTAAATTATCTCTGCTGAGGCTTGTGTGAGTAGATGACATAGATCAAGTATCTCAATGGCTTGACTTGTAAAGTAAATAGCGTCTCTATGAACAAGCACTGTTGAGAATGGTAATTTTCTCAGAAAGCCAGGATAGATATTTAAACATTCCAGTAACTGAATCCATCAGGAGATAGAGGTTTCTTCTCTTAACGGTACAGTAGAATGACAAGCAGAGCTCTCCTGTGCGTTTACACATATATGTATATGGACAAATTATAATGCTGTGTACATGATTCATACCAATGCAGCTTGGAAACCAAAATTAAGTAGTTCATTTGCTCATTGTAAGTGCTTATATGACCAACTTTTAAAAAACACATGTGGTAGTTGCTAATTAGCCCACTCTCCACTAGCTAAACATAAAATGACTGTCTTTTGTAAACAAGAACAGTGTAAGACATTTGGTTTTTGCCTTATCTTTGCAGAAGATGGAAGTGCACTTTTATATCATCACTTCACTCACTTTTTCTTCTTTTTACCTTCTAGTCGTCTGTATGTATTGCAAGGGGGCCTTGCACAACAAGAATGGCGAGTGCCAGAACTGCTGCACAGATTGCTGAAATACCTAGAGCCTAAGCTCACCCAAGTTTATAAAAACGTCAGAGAGAGGATAGGAAGGTTAGTATTAAGGCTATACTATGTCATATGTCCTTCAACCCTTAGATATTCCAGGACGTTGTCATTTTGTTTCTATATATTCCACAAATAAGGGAAAGGAAAAGTTATTTGATTAGTTTGAATTCAGTCTTTAAGGCATGAAGCTAAATTAAAAGTGTGTTCTTGTGTTTTATGCAGTGTTTTGACATACATCTTCATGATAGACATTTCTTTACCAAATACTGCTCTAACAAAGTCTCCCCATGTCCATGACTTCACTTCTCGAATACTTGAAAAACTTAAACCCCTTATGGAAGTGGATGAAGAAATTCAGAATCATGTTATGGAAGAAAATGGAGTTGGAGAGGAAGATGAACGAACTCAGGGCATTAAACTACTGAAAACTAGTAGGTGCTTGTATTAAATGTGCAAGAACCAAATTAAATGTTCACTTGTATTAGTTGCATACCTGTGATGCCATTTAAAGGAATGCTAATTAGAAGAGATGAAGTTATGTTTTGTTCTGTCTTTGAATTGAGAAGTTTGCTTGTCTTTCTTTTACTTGACAGTTCTGAAGTGGTTGATGGCAAGTGCAGGGAGAGCCTTTTCTACAGCTGTTACAGAACAGCTTCAGCTTTTGCCATTGTTTTTCAAGGTATGTAGTTTGATATACAGATTGGTCTGTTTAGGTGAGAGGGGTGATTTCCCAGTAACATTTAACATTTTGACAAGATGTGGATGAGACTACATTTAAATAAACAGGGTGTACCAAAAGTCAGGCCCCACAGACAACTTATTATATAGATTACTTTAAATGTTTGAATTGGTTACCATTTCTTTAAAACACTTCCTTACTTGTTTGATGCATAACCTTTGAGCAGACTGCAGGGAAATCTTTTAAAGGTTGCTGCTTCAGGTTGCAGTCTGCCAGCTGTTAGTCCTGCTCATATCTTGCTTTAGTTACAGGGCTATGTAAAAAAGTTGTTTATTAGGGAAGTTTCAAAACATCCTACTTTGGTCCCAGACCATCTCCAGGACATGGTGAAAAACAGAATATTTTATAATATGTCTCTGAAATAAGTGTTTTGCTCATACCTATTATTATTATCCTTGCCTCTTAAATCTCTTCTCATGTAATTATGAGTTTCAAGATTTTGATTGGATATTTTCATATTGACAGATACCTGTGCTAATTAACTATTTAGAATATTTGCAGTTAAAAACATTTTAGCTATATTTTAATGACACAATAGTTTGAATTGCTTTCTGCTAATTGCACGCACTATATATTTTAAGCCGTCCCAGTATAGTACTTCTATATTAATTACACTAGTTTTCTTAGAGAGGTTAAGATTGCACTTTCCCAATGTGCCTTGCATTTGTTCAGTTTTAAGGATCAAGACTACACTAACTGTTGCTAACCTGTCCTCTACTTGTTTCCACAGATTGCACCTGTAGAAAATGATCATAGCTATGATGAACTGAAGAGAGATGCTAAGATGTGCTTATCATTAATGTCTCAGGGATTGTTATATCCCCAACAAGTGCCTTTGGTACTTCAGGTGCTAAAACAAGTATGTGACGCTTTTTAAACTGATGATTTTTAAACGGCATAATTACAAATCTTTAAGGACAACATTCTAATCTTGTGTTAGTACTGTCTTGATACCAGTGCTGAAAGACTGATAGCAAATATATTTGACCTGAATACATGGGGTCCCAACAAAAATTTACATTTTTATTAACACAATGCTGATTATAATAGAATATATGTATAGGGAGGATATATCTATGGCATATATCCTCTGGGTTTTAGTGCATTTCAGCTGGCTATTCTTGTAGAGACCGTCTGTAGCTCAACTCACCTTATCTGCCTTCATAGGATCCCTGTGATAATGAAATTGCAACTCCATGAATAGATTTGGACATTTTCACATTAGTAACCCAAAGTGAAATTACTAACTTTTTGTGACAGGAATGAAAATAAAATCACTTAGTTGAATAATAATAAAGGAGAAACACGGCACTGTTGGAATGTCAAATCTCTGTTTTGGGAAATGGATTGAGCTCAGCTGTTCTTAGCAAATTATTTCAGTTATTTTATTTTAGAAATATGTAAGGCTGTCTAACCCTACAATGAATGTGGTCAGTTACAGTGAAAGCAGTCATACAATATAATTTAAAAAGTACTCAGATGACAGAAGAAAAACAATCAAACACATAGGAGCCACCTCCCACTCTAACCAAAGGCCTGGAGAAAGAGCCTGCTTTTCAGAGCCCTTTGGAACACAGCTAGGATAGCAGCCAGATGTATCTTAGTGGGGGGATGGTATTCCAGAGGACATGTGCTACAACAGAGAAGGTATGCTTCTTAGGTTCCATCAGATGACATTGCTTAATGGATGAGACCTGAAGCATGCCAATTCTTCCTGAACATAGAGGCTAGATAAAAGCTACGGAAGACACGTGGTCCTTTAGATAATCAGGCCCTAGGCCAGGAATGAGCATGAAACTGAGCAAACTCAGGGAGGCAGTGAAGGACAGGAAGGCCTGGTGCAATATGGTTCATGGGGTCACGAAGAGTCGGACACAACTTAACGACTGAACAACAACAACAATGCCAGGAAGGGCTTTATAGGTAATAACCAGCACCTTGAATTACACAGAAGCCTACTGGTAACCAGAACAGCTTATGGAGGAAAGGTGTTATATTGGCCTGATGAGATATGACCATAATGGTCTATGCCACTGCATTCTGGACTGGCTGCAACTTCCAAGTGGGTTTCAAGGGCTTCCCCTGTAGAATGTGTTGCAGTAGTCCATGTGCAAGGTAACCAAAGCATAAGTGACTGTCTGAAGTGCCTCCAAATCTAGGCAAAGGTGCAGTTGGTGCATAAGATAGATTTGTGTGAAGGCCTCTAGCCAAGCTGCTAGCTGCTCCTCAGGCAGGAGCTGTGAGTCCCAAAAGACCACCAAATTCCCCACCAGTTCCAAAGTGGAAAATGCAATTCCATTCAGGACTAAAGGTTAAACATCCCCAGCCTGGGAGGGGGGGGGGCAAAACCCCACAGTCACTTAGTCATATCAGGGCTGAGTTTAAGTCTGTTCCTTCCTATCCATTCCCTCACAGCCACCAGACACTCAGACAAGACCTTGACAACGTTGCCTGGTCAAGCTTGGTTTGAAATGTATAATTGGTATCATCCACATATTGATACCTGATCCCAAATTGGTGGATGATCTACCTGGCAGCTTCATGTAGATTTTATTTATTTATTTATTTGATCAATCCCCGCCCATCTCCCCCCAATGGGAGGAGATATTATTAGACAGAAGAGGATAGAGTATAGAGCCCTGAAGTACACCACACATCAGGGATTTTGGACTTGATTTCTCCCCTCCTGACTATGGAGATAGAACCATCACAACATTATGCCTCCCAATTCCAGTCCCCACAGGCAGGTCAGAAGGATGCTGTGTTCAATAGTATCAAAAGCCACTGAGAGACCAAGAAGAACCAGGCAGTTGCACTTCCCCCATTCTTGCTTTGCTAAAGTTTTCAACAAGTGCAACCAGTACTTCTGGGTGAGGTTCTATGGTGGACTAGACATCCCTGAAGGAGCGGAACAGCAACCAGTGGTGATTTATGGCCAGCAAAGTCATTCTGGATAAAGGAGAGACTGAGGAATCACCCACCTGCACCCTGGACTGCTGATCCTCATGAGGAGACTGCAGGATGGAAGTCTTGTGGTTTTCTCATGAGTAGAGTGGCGGGCGTTAGCAGAGAAAGAGCTTGCTCACATGTGCAAGCACAGTCTTTTAAAGGACACTGAGTTTCGACCAACCCTCACTTTCTTAATCACTTCAGGAAATAATCAATTTACAGTTGAAAAGAGGTCTTTGAAAACAGTAGGACAAAGAAAACTTGTCAGTGAGTTAACCTTCCTTCTAGATTATAAAAAGTGAAGCAAAGAGAAAAATAATATTTTTAAAAGACTTTAAAATAACAGCAAAGAGCTTAATCAACATTTTGTCTAAGAAAGTTATAAACGGATAAAGGGGACTGTATACATCTGAAAGATAAATATTTAGGCAAAAGTGCTTTTGGCATTACTTGGAATTCATTAAATAAACAGACTACACTTTCCTGGGAATGATGATTGTTTGACAACAAGTGGAAAAGATAATTGGTGGAAGTTACAAAATAAGGAGGTAAGTGTAATATGAGACAAATTGTGTCATCTAAACTACGGAAAGACAGATTGGACTAAAGCCTTAAGGGTATAGAGAAAGTGAAAAAGGAAACAAAAAGAGAAGTCTGCTTTTTACCTTCATCTTTGTAATTGACTTACTTTTACTTTTGGATTATAAATTAAAAGATGGCGACCACCAGAAAAGCTGCAAAGCAAGGTGAGGGAAGGAGAGACTCATTAGAGCAACTGACGGAAAAAGGAATTACCCCAGAAATATTACAAAAAATGTTTGAAGAAATGGGAAAGCAGGTATCTAAATCTGTCAAAAGTGAGCTGATTGATTTTGAAAGAAAAATGGAAGAAAGGTTCATAAAGATGAAAGAAGAGATGAAAGAAGAAGTTATAAAAAAAATTGAAGAATCTATAGGGCATCTTATGGGAGAAATTAAATTAATGACAAGGTGGAAATTTTAGAAAGTAAAACAAATAAAAATTGAGAGATGGAAAAGGACTTAGACAATTTGGCATTATTGGAATTGAGAGAAAAAGAATTCAGCCTGAGATTTAGAGCAGTTCCAGAGGATCCTGGAGAAGACACTAGAGAAAAGATTGTTCCATCTCTAACAATTTCTTTGGAATGGGATGAAGATGACATGGAGGCAGAAATTAACAAAGTCTATAGAATCAAGACACAATTTGCAAAACTAAGAAATAT